AAGCTCCTTATCAGCAATGAGAAGCACATACAAGAGTTCAAAGAATTCAAGGAATATATCATACAGGAAAAGATAACACAGAAACAAATCAAACCAAATTACTGAGAGTGAAGGCTGCAATAGATAAAATTAAAAATTCAGTGGGTGCCTCAATAATAGAATGAATGAGGCAGAAGAAAGAATCTCAAAATTAGAAGATATTTCTTGTCACAATGAGGAAACAAACAAAAAGTTAGAAGCAGAGCTGGGTTAAGTTAAAAAAAAGTATTCAAGAACTGAAAGACATTATTAAGAGGCCAAATATAAGAATTATGGGAGTCCCAGAAGGTGCAGGAAGAAAAGTTGGGCTTACAAATGTGTTTAATGAAATAACCAAGGAAAATTCCCTTACTCTAGAGAATGAATTGGGAAACAACATCCAGGAGGGCCACAGAACTCCCGACAGGGTTGGCCAAAAGCAATCTTCACCACAACACTTGATACTCAAGCTCTCTTCAGTCAAACATAAGGAAAAGATCCTTAAATGTGCACGTGAAAAAAAATCAATTGACATGTAAAGGAATGTCAATTAAACTCACAGGAGACCTCTCACAGGAAACTACAGGCCAGAAGAGAATGGAGTGACATATTCCAGATTCTAAAAGGAAAAAAATTATTGGCCCAGAATAACGCACCCAGCAAAGCTTTCCTTTGTCTTTGAAAATGAAATAGAATTCTTCCACAGAAAAAAAAAAGTTAAAAGAATGCACTTCTTCCATACCTACCCTACAAGCAACACTTCAAGATGTTCTCTTGACAGAGAGGAGGAATAGCACCCATCAAAACCAAAGGCAAATGTGAAGACCATCCCAGTAAAATAACAACAGAAGACTAAATCCATAAACAAACCTTTGCTAAAATGGCAGGACCAAATTACCACCCATTCATAATAACCCTGAATGTAAATGGATTAAACTCATCAATTTAATGTCATAGATTAGTAGACTGATTTAAAAAACGAAACCCATCTATATGATTTTTTTTAATTTTTCAAAATTCTTTTAGTAATCTTTTAATCAACCCTAGTTGATTAGGGCACAAAGGGTCAAGGCCTACAGGACAGTGGGTAAACCATTGCTTCCACATTGTTATTGTTATTATTTTTCTGTATCTGGGGTAAGGATAAAGGGAGAAGAAGCCCCACCCAGCCTCCCACCCATTCCGGGTCCCCGATCTGGGGCATGCTCCAAGGGCACTGCTCAAGCAGTTCTGAATTGCTGCCAGTCTTGCCATTCCAATCACAATGAAATCTCTCCAGAATCCACTGGCTGACATAGTTCACTTTACGGTCTCTGTTTGCCTAGATTTTCACTGCCAACAAATGACAAAACCCATCTATTTGTTACCTAAGGAAGATACATCTCAGATCAGCGGAAACTATACATCATGGATTTTTATGTTTTTATTTTTAGTTTTATTTTTTATAAGGGTTTTTTTTTAAAAAAAGATTTATTTTATTATTGTTGAAAAGTCAGAGATACAGAGAGGAAGATCTTCTGTCTGATGATTCAGTTCCCAAGCGGTTCCAACGGATAGAGCTGCACTGATTCGAAGCCAGGAGCTCAGAGCCTCTTTTGGGTCTCCCTCGCAGGTGTAGGGTCCCAAGGCTTTGGGCTGTCCTCAACTGCTTTCCCAGACCACAGGCAGGGAACTGGATGGGAAGTGTGGCTTATGGGATTAGAACTGTCATCCATATGGGATACCAATGTGTTCAAGGCAAGGACTTTAGTCACTAAGCTGTCACGCCAGGCTAGTTTCATTTCATCAAAACATTTTTTTTCTCATATTAAGTTCTTCACTGACTCATAGGTCACAATATGGCCTCGTTTTGTTCAAGAAGGTTCTTGATTTTCATTTCTTCAGTGACACATTAATCATTCAGTAGTATGTTATTAAAATCGTGGCATTGTAAATTTCTATTTATTCTTCCTGTTGTTGATTTTGTTTTATGGCTTTTCATTTTAAGTGGATGTATAGTAACTGTGATGGAGACTCTCATATCCAGATGTGAGGATAGAATACAGTATACATCTCTACTTCCAGATCAAAGATGGACTCCCAAAGAAACTGTTTACTGTATCTTGACAATGGGATGCTGGACTCTCAGCCATTGTTCATACCTGAAATAATGGACTTATGACTGTGTATGAAGAAGTATATTATACTAGCTTTTCTGGAAGATGGCAAGCTTGTGTGTCTCCGGTGGAAGCCGAAGAGGTTTGACGTGCATAGACTTGAGGGTGATGCGTAGAGAAGTTTGGTCTCCATCCAGAAAAGAGAAGGATCCAGTAGAAGAGGTAAAGATAGTAAAATAGGTGAAAAAAGAACCTAACTTGGTGTGTCCACCCATACAAAGCCAAAAGTATATGCCACCTGAAGATCTCCAGAGTCGTCTGGAATTTCATGTTAAAGAAGTTTTTGGCACATCTCTTCCTGGAAATTGGCAGGACATCTCTCTGGATGATGGTCACATGAAGTTCAGTCTCTTGGCACACTCAGGGCCATGCAGTGCCCAACTCCAGGCTTCAGCAGATGTGCAAAGTCAGAGATGTTCTTGATTTCAATAATGTCCCTATTCAAGGTGGATCTAAATTTGATGAACTTAGTACAAGTAATCTACCCCCTAATTTGAAAATCACTTGGAATTACTGACTTATGTGAAAGAAAAACACATTGATAACATTTTCCCCCTAAGCAAGGGAGCTGTTGACTAGATCTTCTATTATTTTACCATCAGAACTGTTCTCTAAATCCCATTTTTCTATAGAAGAGTACATCAGTCTTTTAAAAAAATTTTCATGTATGAGTTCACAAAGAAATATAAGTACTTTTTTTTGCATTTGCTGTAACCAGTATCATTGAAAAATTGACTCATTAATATTGTTAATTTATGAAACATTTTTTCTTCAGAGGACATTGGAGTTGACTTAGGAAGTTCTAAATCTGCCTTTTATAAAACAAATCTTTAAAAAAAAGTCATGATGGGCCCGGCGGCATGTCCTAGCAGCTAAAAGTCCTTGCCTTGAACACCCCGGGATCCCATATGGGCGCCGGTTCTAATCCTGGCAGCTCCACTTCTCATCCAGCTCCCTGCTTGTGGCCTGGGAAAGCAGTTGAGGACAGCCCAAAGCCTTGGGACCCTGCACCTGTGTGGGAGACCCAGAAGAAGTTCCTGGATCCTGGCTTCGGACCGGCACAGCATCGGCCATTGCGCTCACTTAGGGAGTGAATCATCAGATGGAAGATCTTCCTCTCTGTCTCTTCGCTCTGTATATCTGACTTTCCAATAAATAAATAAATCTTTTTTAAAAAAAAGTGATGAGGTATTTCAACTTCAGACATGATCATGTCCTTCACAGGCATCAAGTAGTAGTTGAAAGAAAGTGCTTAAATCCAAGATGAAATTATTATGTATTGCATATGTATAAATAAAGAAACTTGTATGAGATAAGATACTTAAGAAAAGTATGTGTTGTAAATTACAGAAAATATTTCACTGCTTTATTGCATGAGTAGAATTAACAGAAAATAATAATGTCCATTTGGTGTTGACCTGTTTTGGAATTAAAAGTCCTTTCTTAAAGTTAAAAAAAAAAAGTACACTATAGTAATAATGTAGGGAAACACAGTGGGGGCAGGTGGAGTGGTTTGGAGAGGGAGTAAGGGAAACCAGGTCCTATGGAAATGTATCATAAAATAATAATAATGATGGTGATGAAAAAAAAAGTTCTAATAATAATTGTACTTTCCACATGAAATGGTTGAGAGAATTCTATTAAAGAATTCACTGAAGGGCTGGCACTGTGTTGTAGTAGGCTAGGCACCTGCAGCACTGATATTGCATATAGTATGGGTATTACCAGCCACTCCACTTCTGTCTGATCCAGCTCCCTAATTATGGCCTGGGAAACAGCAGAGGATGGCTCAAGTCCTTTGGCTCCTGTATCTTTGTGATGATCTGGAAGAAGCTCCAGGCTTCCAGTTCCAGCTCTGTCTGTTGCTGCCATTTGGGTGTGAATCACTGGATGGAAGATTTTTTTCTCTCTACCTCTCCCCTTCTTTCTCCTCTCTGTGAGTCTGCCTTTCAAATAATTTAAAAAATTACAATTATCTTTTTTTAAAAAGCTAAGCTGTGATAAATATGTTATTGGTAAATGTAGTTGTTGATGCTGTTGTATTGTTAGTATTATTAACTTGCTTTGTTGGCGCTGTTGATGATGTAGGTGTCAAATTGCTGACATTTTGTCAATACTGTTGTTGACTTATTTATATTATCAATGCAATTAATATTGCTGACATTGTTAATAATGGTGTTGATGTTAACTTGTTCATATCAATGGTAAATTCCTAATATTGTTGAATTACTGACATTACTAGCATCCTTTTTTCTTTTTAGCAGAGATGTTTTGTTTATTGAATGGCAGAGTTACAGAGAGAAAGCAATATTCTATACTGGTTCACTCCTTAGATGCTACAATGGTTAGCTAGGTCATGCTGAAGTCAGGAGATAAGAGATTGTTTCAGCTCTCTGATGTGGATAACAAGGGCACAAGCCCTCTGTTCATTTTCCCAGACATTTAATAGGAACTAAATAAGAAGTGGAGCAACTGAGGAAAAAAAGCATTTGCTCATATGGGTGTTAGTTTTGCTTAATATGCCACAATGTTGGCTCAACGCCAATTTTATCTTGTCAATATTGTTGACTAGTTGAATTATTATTGACTGGTTGTCCATGTCTGTTGACTAGGTCTCTGTGTTTTTGTTTTTGTTTTTGTTTTTAACGTATGTCAGGTTAATGGTATTGATTCTGACTTTGTTGTTATCTTCACTGGCTTGTTGATACTGTTGACATTGGTATGAATTTGATTATGTTGTTGTCGACTTATTATTGTCTTCTTAGTCCTGTTGCTATCCTTGCTGTTGATACTGAACACTGTTTTCCCTTCTTTCTTCCACACAAGGTGGCTCACTTGGTCCTCAAGGCCCATGCCAGGACTTGGCACCACTACAACAGCCACTATCGCCCACAGCAGCAGGGACAGGTGGGCATTGTGCTGAACTCAGACTGGGCAGAACCCCTGTCCCCAGAGAGTGCTGAGGACCTGGCAGCCTCTGAGCGCTTCTTGCACTTCATGCTGGGCTGGTTTGCACACCCCATCTTTGTGGACGGAGACTACCCAGCCACCATGAGGGCTCAGATCCAACAAATTCGTGAGCGCTGCCACAGTCCTGTGGCACAGCTCCCTGAGTTCACCGACGCAGAGAAGCAGCTCTTGAAAGGCTCTGCTGATTTTCTGGGTCTGTCTCATTACACCTCGCGCCTCATCAGCAAGGCCCACGAAGACACCTGCATGCCCAGCTATGATACCATCGGAGGCTTCTCCCAGCACATGGACCCTGCATGGCCTCAGACCTCATCTCCTTGGATTCGCATGGTGCCCTGGGGCATGAGGAGACTGTTGCAGTTTGTATCCCTGGAATACACAATGGGGAGAGTTCCAATCTACCTGGCTGGGAATGGCATGCCAACAGGGGAGAGTGAAAATCTCCTCAATGATTCCTTGAGAGTAGACTACTTCCGCCAGTACATCAATGAGGTGCTCAAGGGTAAGAACCGTGCACCTGCTGGTGCTGCCAGGAGGGTGGATGGTATCTCTGCAAGTCTTCAGAGACTTGTTTAGTGGGAAATGAAGACACAAAGGCAATAGTAGCAGTAGACATGGGGATTCTGTTACCTTGATCTCCTAATTCTGTTTCTCAACGGCCCTGACCCTTGAGTCCATGTTCTTACTCCTTTCTACATCTTTCCATCTGAATCCTGTCCAGCCATGAAGCCTCATCTTTGTACAATTCATTATTCTGCAAATCTTTCTTAAATGGCTATTATGTTCCTGATAATGGGTAAGAAAATGGGGATAAAATATTCAAATATCACATACATCTTTTGGAGAAACAAGCATACTGTGCAGCTCACTGCATCTGGGAAGATGTTTTGTTAGATTTTATTTACTGTTTAATAGGGAATATGTCATTATTTGATGTCAGTTTACCAAATGTAAATAAGGAAAACAAAATTCCATTACAAAGAAGTGATTTATGTAGTCTATATGAGACAAAGGCACAAAAAGGGAGCACATCCTCTCTGATAGTTCTTTTATGACCAGGATGCTCCTTTGACTTAAGGATTATGGCTCTTGAAGTAAACTGATGTGCTGTGGGAGCCTTGCAGATTTTCCTTTAATTATCTTGATAAGAAAGGATTAGGTTGAGTAGTAAACTAGAAATAACAGAAACTTTACTCTCTCAGCTATCAAGCAGGACTCAGTGGACGTTCGTTCTTACATCGCTCGTTCCCTCATTGATGGCTTCGAAGGCCCTGCCGGCTACAGCCAGAGATTCGGGCTGTACCATGTCAACTTCAGCGACAGCAGCAAGCCCAGGATACCCAGGAAATCGGCTTTCTTCTACACAAGCATCATTGAAAAGAACGGTTTCCTCACCAAGACAGTAAAGCAGCCGCTGCCACCGAGTTTGGTGCGCTTGCCTCCCAGAACCAGAGCCTCCTCTCTGCCATCAGAGGTGCCCTCCCAGGCAAAAGTGGTTTGGGAGAAGTTCTCCAACCAAACCAAGTTTGAAAGAGATTTTTTCTATCATGGCACCTTCCGGGATGACTTCCTCTGGGGCGTGTCCTCTTCAGCCTATCAGATTGAGGGAGCTTGGGATGCTGATGGCAAAGGCCCCAGCATCTGGGATAACTTTACTCACACACCAGGGAGCGGCGTGGCAGAAAATGCCACTGGGGACATTGCCTGTGACAGCTACAACCAGCTGGATGCTGACCTGAACATGCTTCGAGCTTTGAGGGTGCAGGCCTACCGCTTCTCTCTGTCCTGGTCTCGGATTTTCCCAACTGGGACAAACAGTTCCATCAACGATCGTGGTGTTGACTATTACAACAGGCTGATTGATGGCTTGCTGGCAAGCAACATCTTCCCCATGGTGACCCTGTTTCACTGGGACCTGCCCCAGGCCCTGCAGGATATAGGAGGCTGGGAGAACGCTTCCCTGATTGAGTTGTTTGACAGCTATGCAGACTTTTGTTTCCGGACCTTTGGTGACAGAGTCAAGTTCTGGATCACCTTTAATGAGCCCACCTACTATGCATGGTGGAGTTATGGCACAGGGGAATTTCCCCCAAAAGTGAGTGACCCAGGCTGGGCACCTTACAGAATCAGCCATGCGCTCATCAAAGCTCATGCTAGAGTCTATCACACGTATGATGAGAAATACAGGCAGAGCCAGAACGGGGTCATCTCTTTGAGTCTTGTTGGAGAATGGGCAGAGCCCAAGTCACCGGATGTTCCGAGAGATGTGGAAGCCACTGACCGCAAGATGCAGTTCACCCTGGGCTGGTATGCCCACCCTATTTTTAAAACTGGAGATTACCCCGATGCCATGAAGTGGAAAGTAGGGAACAGGAGTGAACTCCAGCACTTAGCCACATCCCGCCTGCCAAGCTTCACTGAGGAAGAGAAGAACTACATCAGGGGTACAGCTGACGTCTTCTGCCTCAATACCTACTCCTCCAAAATTGTACAGCACAGGACACCTGCACTGAACCCACCGTCCTACCAAGATGATCAGGAGTTGAGCGAGCAGGAAGATACCTCATGGCCTACCACAGCCATGACCAGAGCTGCGGCCTTTGGAATGCGTAGACTGCTGAATTGGATCAAGGAAGAGTATGGTGACATCCCCATTTATATCACTGAAAATGGGGCAGGCCTGTCAAATTCAAGACTGCAGGATATTGAGAGGATATTTTACTACAAAACCTACATCAATGAAGCTTTGAAAGGTATGTGAGGTTTCCATTTCCCCTACGGATTCTTATACATTCTGTATCATGTGTGAAATGCTTTAGCAATAAGGTTTATGAACCATTAATCAATCTCAAGACCAATTTTTTTCAGTCTTTCCCTCATTTTTGTAGTACTGCCATGTACCATGTTCTGGTCTAATGCTAGGGCTTAAATACAAGGTGCTTTGCCCTCATATAACTCATATTCTAGAGGTTTCTCTGTACCCTAGAATAAAAAACTCTTCTCTATGCCTCTGTGCTTAATCTCTCAAGCTGGCTTAGGCTCTTGAAGGTGAAACATGTCTCTATCGTTAAAGAACTTAATTTTGTGAAGATTAGTCCTCAGTACTTGGTGTGGGCTCATCAGAGAAGGCAAAGAGTAAAATCAAAATGATGATCTAGTCTACTTACAGCATAGGTCACTTAGTGTGCAAGTTGATGGTTTAGAAGCATTGCTTTGGGTGGAGGAGCCAGCACATTGCTGGGCTTCTTGGGCTTCTTGTCTGCGGAGGTAATGCTCTCCTCTGCTCCCTGGAATGTTCTCAGCCTACAGGCTCGATGGTGTCAACCTTCAAGGCTATTCTGCCTGGTCTCTGATGGACAACTTTGAGTGGCTCCGAGGCTACACAGTCAAGTTTGGCCTGTATCATGTTGACTTTGAGAATGAGAACAGGCCTCGCACAGCAAGAATCTCAGCCGCGTACTACACAGAACTCATTACCAACAACGGCATGCCACTGTCCAGTGAGGATGAGTTTGTGTATGGACAGTTTCCTGAGGGGTTCACCTGGAGTGCGTCTACTGCTGCGTTTCAGGTGAGGAGTGTGGGGCAGTGCACACTGCTTACAGATTAGCCACTGTGTCCCAGGCTCCTGCTTGCTGCTGCAGATGGCAGAACAAGAATAGACATTTCTGCATCTTTTGTAACCGCCTCTTCCATTTCTTTTTATGGACAGTCTCTCTTCTTTTTATCCCCAAATTTAGTCCAACCAGTACAGTTAGATTTGCTCAGTTAGATTTGCTGTCTTGAGATTCATCATAGGGCCTGGTAAAACAGGTACAGCCTAGACAAAAGCATAAGGACAAAAACATGCACATATGAATAGTCTCAAATGGACACATTGATTTCCCTCCTAGTAGAGAGTTTCTTGTATGACAAAGATCAGTGGGGAGCTATGTGCATTTCCTACCTCCATTTATCATTATTTATGCAATGGTGGGCTGTGTTTGCTGCTTCTGGAGCCAGGGCAGGGCTGGTGGTCTGAGCTGAACTGACTCTGGGTGTTCTACGTCCATGGGTTTTTCTCATTGGCCACAGTGGCCAAAGATGTGGATATGGGTACCTACTCGTATACAACCACATTACCAGGTTGTCATGAAAGTTATCTATCAAATTCTGCCCTATACAGATAGTTATTGACGAAAAATCAAATAGCAGTAAAACAAATACTATTCATGTGTTATGTTGTGTTTTTTAAGGTTTGTTTTATTTTTATTGGAAAGTTAGATACACAGAGAGGAGGAGAGGCAGAGAAAGATCTTCCATTCACTCCTTCACTTCCAAAGTGGCTGCAATATCTGGAGCTCAGCCAATGCTAAACCAAGAACCCAGAGCCTTCCCTTGGGATCTCCCACACAGGTGTAGGGTCCCAAGGCTTTGGGCATCTTCAACTGCTTTCAAGCAGAGAGAAGACACTTCTTTCAATCTCTCCTTTTCTCTCTGTAGAAATTTGCCTTTCAAATGAAAATGAATAAATCTTAAATAAAAAAAAAAGGAAAAGAAAGAAACAAAGAAAAGAAATCACTGGGACTTGAACCAACACTTCCCCATAGGATAACGTTGCTGCAGGCAGTCACTTAACGTACTATGCACAATGCTTGCCCCAATGTTAGAGTCCTCAACTCTGCCCATCCTAAGGGCATGGCATATCTATATCTATATATCTATGTCTATATCTATATATTATTGTTTGTTTTTTAATTTTATTTTTAATGATGGCTACAAAGTTGATCAGGGTGGGGAGGATCGAGGGTTAGGGAAAAGTGGGCATAATTTTTGTTTCCAATTTTTATACTTCTTCCTCTTGTTTCTGTGGGAAGGGAGGAGGTAATGGGATGAGCCATGCCCAGCCTCCCAACCGCACCAGCACCCAGGGATGGGGAAAGGCCACGCAAAAACAATCTTTGATCCCAATGTGGTGCACTCCCCGAAGGTTCTGCACAGGTGGTTTCAGTAGTTCTGAAGCTCTCGATCTTGCCAATGCAAAGATGAGGAAACCCTTCCAATGTCCATTGGCTGACATAGTTGACCTTACCGTCTCCATTTGCCCAGATGATTGCTGTCATTGGTACCACATGTCCTCTGCAGGCCCCAATGGGCTACCATATCCCCCATGTACATAAGGGGCTACCGTCCACTGCTCCATCTTTTCCACTGAGGAGGACCAACTCTCACAGGCTGGCTCATGAAACTGGCACCTACTACACAGGCGAGCCAAAGAACCCAGGTCTGCTGACCCAGGTCCTGCTGGACTCCACACCCCCAGGGCTCATGGGTACCCACCATGCAGGTGCATATCTAAAAACATTTTAGCTAGCTAAAATGTTGAATTTTTGAGTTGTCATTAATGAGCACTCATGTCTGTTCATCATGACAGTCAACAAGTATAATTCTCAGTATAGTGAGATGGAACATTCTAAGTAGCCAACTATGGAGCAGGAATTAGAATTGAATGAGGTGACTATCACATAGGTTTCCTGGTTAGAGTGCCAACTGATCCCTCATGATTATGTGTTTGTTTATGTGTCATTAGAATACATTTATTTGTGACTCTTTTCAGAAAAAAATGTCACAAAAATAGTACAGGAGATTTCTGTATACTCACATCAGACTCTTCAACTCTACAACATTTTACTGTATTTTATGTTTTTCTCTCTGTGTGTCTTCACAATGTTCATAGACAATGAATCTTCATGGATGTGAAAATCTTTACACAAAATAAATGAATCTTTTAGTTGAATGTTCTATAAGCTTTGTAAAGTACTTTCACATGTGTGTACACATACAAGTTATTGAAACAGGTTTTCTCACATGTTAATTTTTCTCACAGGTTAATTCTAACCTACCTATTTGTCACATTTACATTTCCTTCCTCCCATGGTGAGAAATATGGCTACTAAGGTATTTACCCTGACCATTTATCTGTCCAACTTCTCTGCATTAACTAATCTCCCGACCAGTCAAAACTCTTCTTCAGCCCAGGTAGCCCTGCCACCCTCATGGCCACCATGTACAATAAGCTTAAAGTGCTGTCAATGGGCTGTATCCAGCCACATGCCATTCCACATATGCTGAAGTGTTTCAAAGTAAAATAGAGAAATTGTACTGTCAGACTGTGTAAATTGAGAGGTCAGTGTTATTCTAGTGGCTTGTGGCAAATAGAGGGATGAAAAAAGGGAAGTCTAAAACAGTAACATGGATCCTTCATAGAAATCTTTTGTCATGATGAGAAATTCAGCTTTCACACTTTGCATGATTTCAATTTATTTGAACATGATTCTGGGAGGGAAAAGTGTGGATTCAGGATTTTTTTATTCTAACCTTTAGTGAGTGCCAACTATACACCAGACACTGCTGCATGCATCACTGGGAAAGCCTAGACATTGACAACTGTGAAACACAGTGTGATGAGGCTACAGGTGTGTAGAAAGATGGGGATCTCAGAGATGGCCAGAGAAGGCTCCTGAGGTGATGAGGCTGGGAAATATACTGACGTGGTACTCACTCACAGAAAGAAAGGACTGTCTAAGGGCTTGACTTGATGACTTAATTTGATCATGTCTTGTCATCTTTAAGATTGAAGGTGCATGGAGAGAAGATGGCAAAGGCATTAGTATTTGGGACACATTCAGTCATACAGCACTGAGGATTGAGAATGATGACATCGCAGATGTGGCCTGTGACAGTTACCACAAGATCGCTGAGGACGTGGTCGCCCTGCAGAACCTGGCCGTATCCCACTACCGCTTTTCCATCTCCTGGTCCCGCATCCTGCCTGATGGAACGACCAACTACATCAATGAAGCAGGCCTGAAACACTACGAGCAGTTCATTGATACATTGCTGGCTGCCAACATCCAGCCCCAGGTGAGGGTGGGCGCTGGCCAGGCCTCAAGGAAGTCCACAGGCTGTGGGGCTGAGGAGCACATTTACTCTGAAAGCCAAATGCTGCTCTCAAACTTAATAATTGGATTGCCATTAATTTCTTATGGCACGGAATTAAGCAAGAATAATAGAGTTTTACTCCCCATCCTGAGCAATTCCCCTCCTTTGAAGTAGCTTATTCTGCCTCTCCTTGTTCCACCCCAAGAGGAAAAAAAGCCTTTGAATTTTTGTCTCATAATTCCTTCTCAGTTTTGGCAGAAGATGTTTGTGCTTCCCATGGAAGGCACAGTGGATAACTGCAGATCTGACCTATTCACAGGTGACCCTATACCACTGGGACCTGCCCCAGGCACTCCAGGATGTTGGAGGCTGGGAGAATGAGACCATTGTGCAGCGGTTCAGGGAGTATGCCAATGTGGTATTCCAGAGGCTGGGAAACAAGGTGAAGTTTTGGATCACACTCAATGAGCCCTTTGTCATGGCCTACCATGGCTATGGCACTGGGTTATATGCCCCAGGTAAGGATCTCAGGCCTTAGGCAAAGAGTTACTATTTGGCTCCATCCATTCAATGTTGACATCTATGTATGTGTTTCCAGGGATTTTCTATAGGTCTGGCACTGCTCCCTACCTTGCTGGCCACAACTTAATAAAGGCTCATGCTGAGGCCTGGCATCTGTATAATGACGTGTACCGGGCAAGCCAAGGAGGTGTGATTTCCATCACCATCAACAGTGAATGGGCTGAACCCAGAGACCCAGCCAATCAAGAGGACGTGGAGGCAGCCATGAGATACGTTCAGGTCTGTTTTTCCACTGGGTGCCACTCTTACTCTTGTCCATTTCCCTTTCCTTTAGGTGTCTAATGGAAGATACGATGTGACTGAGAATCAATTATTCAGGACTATAATTTTGTTGAGTTGGGCAAAATCGTATTACCTTGTTTTTTTCTTCAAATAAGGTTCTTGGTTTATTGTAATACAAGCAGTAAATTTATTGGGCTTAGGCTTTAAGTCTTAACAAAGTATGTGTATGTGTAAGTCTGCAGTGAATATAACATTGGTCTGAAGATAAGTAATAGAAAGTCCATATGTTCTATCTCTGCTTTGGCTACTAGCTACTACTACTCAAGATCCACTAATCTTGACTGCAGTGACAAAAGACACCACTAGGTGTCCTGATCTAATTTCATTTGCTCCAACCTAAGAATTTCTTAAAACAAGGGTTGAGATTCTATTACATGATAGTCCCCTATTTTACCAATTTCATGAACTTAAAATAAGCACACATCTCTTTTGCTTGTGTAACTTTGCCCCTGGAAGCAGAGACTCTAAGAAGGGTCTCTCTTTACCAGATCACTTTGTGCTTTTGGTTCTCATGGAGGAACCTGTAAATTGTAGCATTTGTGACCCTTTCAGGGAAACTCCTAGAGCTTTGTTTTGCCAAACACTTCCCAGGCAACAGATTAGTGAGACAACACTAATAAGAACTTTCTGGGTTGCTAGTCAGCTGGGATGTGTTGCAGCAAAAAGAGCAAATTACTCATTTCACATCTCAGATATGGTGAATTAAAGCTATTCTGTTTTCTTCCAAAATCAAAACCCCAGCCCTCAGGAGACATCAGGCTGTGCTGTCATTACATTGAACCCGACTGGTGGACTGTGACTGTGTGGTCCAAGACCATGACAGACATGACTGCTGGTAGGACCCACTTCCTTCCACAGAAACCCTTGGAGCGCATTTGAGCCTCTTGTGCTAGGCAGTGTGTGATCTGGGGTCTCACTACTGCCTAGAATGGAGGCTCTCCTCACTGCACATTCTAGGCACCAGCCTCTCTGGTAGTGTTCGGGTGCTGTGTACCCCAGGATAAGGATGGCCCTGATCTCAAATTGGGAAACAGGTTCTACACTGTGGGGTTATGAGCCCAAAGCCACTGATGGGTCATCCTTTGGCTGGGAAGACAGGAAATATTGCAGTTCAGGCATTTCCTGAAAATTCTAGTTGCTTCCTAGACAATGTGATGAGAAAGGACCCATATTGTTACTTCAGCTGCTCTACGTTAAGAGAGCAACTCAGGGGGCCAGAAGCTTCCAGTCTGTTCCTCTGCATCTCAGGTTCTTTCTGACAGAGGCCCAGGAGGACGGCAGTGCAGGGCCAGTACCCAGTTCATCTCACCTCCACCTGTAACCATGGAGACCAGGACAGGGCCCTCAGTGAGATGGCAGCTTTACAGGCAGACCTGGGTGGTAAGACCTGCTGGTACCTCAGCTGCAACCTGCACAGGGCCACGGAAGAGATGCAAGATCATGTTCCCGAGTTGGAGAGCCAAGGCAGGAGGTTGTGAGAGCAGCTCGTGAACTGGGCTGTCACTGTCCCCTGGTGGCTTTGTTGGGATGCCATGGCTGACTGTCCCCCAATCCTTACCTTGCAGTTTATGGCAGGCTGGTTTTCAAATCCGATTTACAAGAATGGAGACTACCCTGAGGTAATGAAGACACAGATCCTAGAAAGGAGTTTGGCTGCAGGCCTCAATGTGTCTCGGTAAGGTCCCAGTACCAAACAGGGCATGCGTGGCTGTGGGTCAGAGATGTGTGTGTGTTTGTGTGATGGAAGGTAAACAGGGTCACCTATGTGGAGGGCTGTATCCAGCACCCAGCTCTCCTGTGTGCCTGACAACAGGCAGCTGCTGTTACCTTGCTGCAGAACAGCCAGGACAGTGGTCTTGTGAGCACCCACCTCTTAGCAGCCTTACTTACTACCTCACTCCAAGCATGATTTCCCCAGTCTATGCTTGGCAGTTTCATCCCTCATGAGGGAATCCAAAGAGCCTCCAGGGAGTGCCAGGCATGTGTTTCTGATCACTCAGCAGCAGGGGGCAATGATGTACATCAGGACACCCCCTTCCTGACTCACCAGGCCTTCCTGTGCAGGAAGAGATGAGAACATCCACAGCTCACGTTTGTGAGTGTTCTGTTGTACTCTCATTGAAGGATGAGTAAGCTTGGGGCTTGAGTACCTGCCCAGAGATGGAGCTGGGATTTGAAACTGACTCCAGGGCCCATACTCTGGTTTGAGATCAGTTCCTTTGTATTTGCGGTGTGACTTGTGAAAGTGTCCAAAGTACTGCCAAGGGTCCTGGATTCCCTCACTTGCAAGTGTGGACTCAGAAGAGGAGGAAAACCAAACCACCCCCCCCCCCCCCCGCACCAGAAGGACTCACAAAGGCAGAATGCAGCAATAGAAATCATAAAGGCTCTCATTTCTTTCTGAACATAATGGAGCCATTCTGGAAGACCTACTTGTAGTTTTGAAATATACCTTAGAGGGCAAATATGTTAGTGTTAGAAGGAAAAACAAAGTGTGTGTGTGGTATGTGGCAGGTGGAAGGTTGTCAAAGGTCAACTCTTAGTTTCCTTTTGCAGACAGGAAGTTAGGCTCTAGTCACATCAGTGGGCAAAGCCTCAGGTGCACACTGCACTACCTGAAAGGTCCTTCCTCCTTCCTCCCAGGCCCCCAGTCACTTCCCCACCCTGCCCCTGACACTGTCACCTGAAGCATTTGATTGATTCATCCTGAAGCCCCACTTACTGGCTGTTTCTGCCCAGGCTCCCAGAGTTCACAGAGGAAGAGAAGAGGAGGATCAACGGCACCTATGACTTTTTTGGGTTCAACCACTACACCACTGTCCTCGCCTACAACTATGAATACCCCACAGCCTTTGCCTCTGTTGATGCAGACAGGTAAGTGTTCTAACAGAGCACCTGGAGCAAACTTTGGGAGGGCAGAAAGTTGCCCTTTACTCCTACTCTTATGCAGATACCTGTATTGTTTCACAAATTGTTTTGAAGATGCTCATCAACCAGTATCTCAGTTGAAATATCCAGCAGCCTAACACTAATAGAATGTTAGGTTTTTTCAGAGCCTCCTATTAGGGCATATGTGTTTGGCTTTAAAAAAGTAGTTTCCAATAAAACATTTTCTTTCCCTGGTCTTCCGTTTTTTTTTTTTAAGCCAAATTTTATTCATTTTTCTAATCTAGTTTAGGCATATTAGTTCTTTGTTTTTTTCTTTTAAAAAGCTTCACTCATTTGAAATACAAAGTGAAGAAAGAGAGGTAGAGAAATATATCCTCACTTGCTCCTTCCCCAAATGACTACCTTGTCTGGTATTGCTCCAGGCTAAAGCCAAGAACCTTGACTCCATCTTGGTATATCATGTATGTGGCTGGGGCCCAAGTATGTTGAGCATCTTCTGTTGCTTTCCTAAGTGCAATTGCACGTAGCTAGATCAGAAGTAGAATACCCAGAACCTGAAACAGTACCCTGATATGTGATGGATGCCAGCAGCTTAAGCCACTGTATTGTAACACTGACCTTTCCTTCTTCTGATTTTAGCCCATTGAGTCCCAAGTTTTCAATTCGGTAATTTTTTCAATGAATTATTTTATTTGAGGGACAGAGTTAGGAAGAGAGGCAGAAGGCAGAGTTAGGGAGAGAGGAGGAGAGAGAAAGAGATCTTTCATCTACTGATTCAGATAGAAAGATAGATCTTTCATATATTGGTTCACTTCCCAAGTCACTGCAGTATCTAGGACTGGATCATGCTGAAGTCATGAGCTTCTTCTTGGTAACCCAAGTGTCTGGTAGGGGCCCTAGTACTTTGTCCATTTTCCACTGATTTTCTAGGCTTATTAGCAGGGAGCTGGATAAAAAGTAGAGGATTCAGAATACAAACTAATGCCCATGTAGAATTCCAATATAGAAAGTTGCAGCTTAATCAGCCACACTACATATAGGCTTTATTCTGCAAATGTTTTAAGAATGTAATACTTACTTTAAGATGATATATGTACTGGTCAATTTAAGTCTTTATGGATTTGCTATGTAGAGAATGAGTGGACATAATGGGTTAAGGAAAGACCATAGTGTTATTTTTGTATTATACAAATAATGTGTGTTTCTGATGGGAGCATCAGAGAACAGGCATGGAGTAAGCATTTGGAGCAGTGGTAAAGATGTTGCCCAGGATTCCCTCATCCCGTGTTGCAGTGCCTGCGTCTAGTCCCAGCTTCTCTGCTTCAGGTTCATCTGCTTGTTAATGTGCACCACTGGAAGCGGCAGGTGATGGCTCAGTTACAGTGTCCTGCCACCCACACGGGAGATCTAGGATGGGCCCTGGGCTTCTGGCTTCAGCTTGGTTCAGTTTTTGGTGGTGTGAACATTAAGGGAATGCAAGAACAGATGGAAGATCTCTATCTTTACCTCTGTTTCCATGCTTTTAACATTAAATGAAAATATACAACGAATTTGTTTAAAAAAGAATATATGTACACATATGTATACATATATATGTAGATTTTTTTCACAAGAAGATTTTCAATCAGTAGCTCTGAATCTATCAGTTCATTCTTTCAAAGTAAGACCCTACACTGCCACACCTTCATTGCACTCTGAAACCACACCATTCAGGCTTACTGAGAGACTGAAGAAAAAACAAAGTATCCCTGTTTGTTCTGCATCTTCCTCCCCACACAACACTTGGTGCCTCTCAGTCCTGGACCTCCCTCCCCAGGAACCCCATGTGACCTTACCAAAGCTTCTCATTTTCTCATTGAGTTCAGCTGAGAATGCTCAGTCTAGGCACTGATCACACATTTCCTGAGTGATTTGGAGGTAAGCAGCAGCTGAATGGCTGGTTCTTAATGGGGCTGTGGGACTTGGGATATCACATATTTATACACACCCTGGCCAGCAGGCATTCCTGTGGTGAAAGTGTTTCTTGCTTTGTCTGTTACTAGAGGGAGAGTTCAGTGTCAGGGACACTTAAAGACCTATCAGGGTCTCCTGTCCCGCGGAAGAAATTACCCGACACTGGAGAGAGTCTCAGAGGCGCTTTTATTCAGATCTTCCATTAAAAACTGTTATGTCCGTTAATTCCATTAGGCAGAAGCCCCTCTCCCGCCAAGCCCCCGGCTTATACGTCAATCCTGTCCAGTCAGCACCAAGGCACACCAATCAGGGCAAAGGGCCAATCACAGGGCAGGAAATTGTCAGTGCCCCCAACGGCTACCCCTTCTTGTTTTATTAAGCAAGAGACCGTGCCTGTCTGAGGTGTTCCAAGTTCGGGTTCCCTTTACGCGTCGTGGGCTAACCACATGGCTAGGAATGTGGCACCTGTCTTAGGTTGGTAAAGCCGTATCGGATACTTACCCATCTCTGGCTACCGGTCCAGCATGCCTAGCCAGAGTTCTGGGGATTCTCTGTTGAGAAGGGCAAGCACAGCTTGCACTAGCAGCCGCTGTTGCTGCTGCTGCTGACGCTGTGCTCGAAGATGAAGCATCTACAGACCCCAAAGAATGATAATAACCCCAGGCCTACTATACTGGCCCATTGGCGTGCAAAGGAAAGATTCTTTAGTATCCAGTTTGTCCATTGCTGTACCGTGGCAATCTCTACTTTGGTGCTATTTATGGCTATAATTTGGGATCTTAGTTCCTAAGTCAAATTATCAAATCGTGTGGACCAGCTTCCATTAGGGGATAGCAGAGCGGATAACTCTGGACAAATTCAATGCTCGGGAACCATTGGTGGCAATAGAGGGAATGACACACATTCCAGGTAGACTAAGCACACAGGAGGTCCCCATATGATGGAGCAGTTGTTCCACTGCCTCCTGCAAAAGATCCACTCTCTGATTAACAAGTAAAATGCCTCTTTTAAAATGTATGATGAATAAGAACCTGAAGATCACTTTCCTTCACCTGAACGGGCATGGGAATAGGTTGTGGAATGTGTACCAGCACCACAGTGCCGGAGCCATTCCAACACTGGTTAAAGGCTCACATAACCACAGAGCAATTCAAAAGGGTAACATTAGCACTCATGGAAACAGTAAACATAAATGGAGCTTGTACACATACATAAATAGCATTATAGATAACATCATGACTGCAATTAACTATTTATTTTTTTATTATTGATAACATTGTATTATGTGACACAGTTTTATAGGCACTGGGATTTCCCCCGCCCCTCCCACAACCCTTCCCCCGTGGTGGATTCCTCTACCTTGCTGCATAACCACAGTTCAAGTTCAGTTGAGATTCCTTCATTGCAAGCATATACCCAGCATAGAGTCCAGCATCTTATTGTCCAGATAAATTTAACGGCTTCTTGGGGAGACCTTCTCTGGTCTGAAGGTAGAGCTAACAGAGTAAAATCCCAGTCAGTTAAAAGCTCCAACAAAACATCAGCAACAATATATAGTGTTATGGAATTAATTGACATAGTATTGAGTAAACAATATGTTAAAAATAATGCAAGTTCAATTTTTCAAAACACATGTGTTGAGACAGTATTAATGACAGGTTCAAAAAGAGAAAAAAAATTACAGGTTAAATTAAGGCAAGGGCCCGGCGCGGTGGCGCAGTGGTTAGGGTCCTCGCCTTGCATACCCTGGGATCCCATGTGGGCGCCGGTTCTAATCCCGGTGGCCCCGCTTCCCATCCAGCTCCCTGCCTGTGGCCTGGGAAAGCAGTCAAGGATGGCCCAAGGCTTTGGGACCCTGCACCCATGCGGGAGACCCGGAAGAGGCTCCTGGCATCAGACCAGCATAGCATCAGCCATTGTACTCACTTGGGGAGTGGGTCATCGGAGGGAAGATCTTCCTCTCTGTATACCCGCCTTTCCAATAAAATACATAAATAAATAAATAATTAAGGCAAACATTTGGTATCTAACCTTTTGGGATTCGCTCATTTCCCTTAGCATTATAGTTTCCAGTTAGGCCCATTTAGCCACAAAGAACTGCATTTTTTTTTTTAAATAGCTGAGTAGTATTCCATGGAGTAGATGAACCAAAGCTTTCTTATCCAATCTTCTGCTGATGGGCATTTCGGTTGCTTCCATGTTTTCGCAATTACTGATTGTGCTGCTATGAACATAGGGGTGCATGTTGGTCTGTCGTGAAACAGGTGTTTTGGATGCATTCCTAGGAGTGCTATTACTGGATCATATGGTATGCAGATTTTGAGTTGTTTAAGTGTTCTCCATCCTGATTTCCATAAAGGCTGTACCAACCTGCAGCCCACCAGCAGTGGAGTAGGGTTCCCTTTTCCCAACATCCCCGCCAACAAGTGTCGTTGGTGTTCTTTTTTATGTGGGCCAATCTTACTGGCGTTAAGTGGTACCTCATCAATGTCTTAATTTGGATTTCCCTTATTGCCAGGTAACTGGAGCATTTTTTCATATGTTTGTTTGCCATTTGGACTTGTTCCTTTGTGAAATGTTTGCCCATTTCCCGTGCCCATTTCTTGAGTGGCTTATTTGTTTTGGTGTTTTGGTTGTTTTGAAGTTCTTTGTATATTCTGGAGATTAGCCCTCTATCACCTACACAGTGCGCAAAGATCTTCTCCCATTCTGTGGGTTGCTTTTTTACTTTGCTGATTGTTTCCCTTGATGTACAGAAGCTTCTTAGTTTGATGAGGTCCCATTTGTTTATTCTGTTCTTAGCTGCTATTGCTTTTGGTGTCCTTCTTAGAAAGTCAGGACCTACTCCTAGGTCTTGCAGGGTATTTCCAACATTTTCTTGCAAGAGTTTGAAGGTTTCTGGATGTAGGTTTAGGTCTTTTACCCATGTAGATTGAATCTTAGTATATGGTGATAGATGTGGATCTATCTTTTTGTTTCTGCAGGCTATCAGCCAGTTGTCCCAACAACATTTACTGAAGAGGCCTTCCCATTTGCTTGGACTGTCGTTGGTCTTTTTGTCAAAGATTATTTGGCTGTATCTGTGTGGGTTCCCTTTTGGTGTTTCTATTCTATTCCATTGATCTTCCTCTCTATCTTTGTGCCAGTACCAGGCTGTTTTGATAACCACTGCTCTATAGTATTTCCAGAGGTCCGGAACTGTGATTCCCCCTGCTAACTTCTTGTTCTTTAGGATGGTTCTAGCTATTCGTGGTTTTTTGTGCTTCCAGATGAACTTTTGAATCATTGTGTCCAGTTCCGTGAAGAATGTTTTGGGCAATTTGATTGGAATTGTGTTGAAAATATATATAGCTTGTGGTAGTATAGACATTTTAATGATATTGATTTTACCTATCCAGGAGCACGGGATGTTATTCCATCTTTTGAGGTCTTGTTCAATTTCTTTTTTGAATAGTTTATAGTTTTCTTCAAATAGGTTTCTTACACTTTTGGTTAGATTTATTCCCAGATACTTCATACTTTTCTCTGTTATTTTGAATGGTATCTTGCTGGTTAGGTCTTTTTCCATCTTGGGGCTATTTGCGTACACTATTGCTGTTGATTTTTGTTCATTGATTTTGTACCCTGCCACTCTGCCAAACTCTCATATAAATTCTAGCAGTTTCTGTATTGAGTCTCCTGGTTTTTCTATGTACAGGATCATGTTATCTGCATATAGTGAAAGCTTGGCTTCTTCGCTTCCCATTTGTATGCCTGTGATTTCTTTTTCTTGTCTTATGGCCTCTGCAAGTACCTCTAGGACTATGTTGAATAGCAGTGGAGATAGCGGGCATCCTTGTCTTGTTCTAGATCTCAGTGGGAAGGGTTCTAGCTTTTCTCCATTCAGTATGATACTGGAGTTGGGTTTTTCATAAATTGCTTTGATTTATGTTGTGGATTTTTCCATCTGTGCCTACCTTGGTTAGAGTTTTTAGCATGAAGAGGTGTTGAATTTTATCGAAAGCTTTTTCTGCGTCTATTGATACTATCATGTGGCTCTTGTTTTTCAGTTTTTGGATGTGGTGTATCACATTTATGGATTTCCAAATGTTGAACCATCCCTGTATTCCAGGGATGAATCCTACTTGATCCGGATGAATGATCTGTCTGATGATTTTTTTAATTCTATTGGCTAGGATTTTGTTGAGAATTTTAGCATCAATGTTTATCAGAGAGATAGGTCTATAGTTTTCCTTCTTTGATGATTCTCTATCCGGTTTTGGGATTAAGATAATGTTGGCTTCATAGAATGAGTTTGGAAGGGTTGCTTCCTTTTCTATTGTTTTGAAGAGTTTGTAGAGGATTGGGGTTAGTTCTGTTCAGAGTATTTTGTAGAATTCTGTAGTGGAACCGTCTGGGCCTGGGCTTTTTTTCGTTGGGAGATCCTTGATGACTGCTTCAATCTCTGCCTCGGTTATGGGTTTATTTAATTCTTCTGTTGCCTCTGGACTAAGTTTTGGTAAGTGGTGGAAGTCTAAGAACTTTTCCATTTCTTGGTGGTCCTCAAATTTATTGGAGTACAGTTCTTTGTAGTAATTTCTAATTATTTTCTTAATGGTTGCAGTGTCTGTCGTTATGTTGCCTTTTTCATCTTTAATGGACTGCAATTAACTTTAACATCTTCTTCCCATATTCTAGAACTATTACTACTATAATTACAATTTTTTATCACTACCTTATCAATAAATGCAAAAGCTGATATATCTGAACATCCACCCCTACTAGTGCAAAGTACCCAGGCATTCCAAGGCTGAGCAGATACAGATTGAACAGGGTTACCATATGTATAGTTATACCCCACAAAGGTAGAATTTGAACAGGTAGGAAATAAACTGGTCACAGCAAGACCAGGTGCTACTCTTCTAGGAGTCACAGTACTTTGACAGCAGTCCATTCTGGGGGCCATTTCCAAGGCCCTAGACAGCGAGGCAATATTTGCTGCACCCCTTTAATAGTGCAGTTATAGCTGAAGATTCTGGCTGTCTTCTCTCGGTATCTGAATGAACATCAGGCTGGTCAGCATCCACCACGTCCACAGGTTCATCTTGCTCCGGCTTTCTTATCACTTGCGTCAAATGTTCTGGCACCCACACCAGTCCATCTGAATCCTGCGGAAAAACACAAACCGCTCCTCGTGTCCATTGTAAGACAGGATGCGGGCCTATCCATTGTTTTGTTAAAACATCCTTCCACATCACCCAATCTTTGCAGGGGCCTGCACCAACAGCGTGGCGTTGGCAGCAGAACGGCCATCCAAATCCAAAATCAAAAAATTAAAAATATAAGTAACTAAAGCCAATTGATGTTTAGGACTATTGGGATATAGGATGGCTCCTACTCTCCCTTTTTGTTTTATTGATAATGCTTTGAGAGTTGCATGGGCACGCTCTACCACAGCCTGACCCACGGGATTATATGGGATGCCAGTGGAGTGTTTAATCTCAAATTCAGAACAAAACTTATCAAATGCTTTGGCTGTATAGGCAGGTCCATTATCAGTCTTATAACACTGGGGGATGCCCCAGGCTGCAAAAGCCTGAAGGCAATGAGATATAACATCTTGAACCTTTTCCTCTGTGTGAGCTGAGGCATAAAGAACCCCAGAGCAGGTATCGATAGAGACATGAACAAAAGAAAGGCGACCAAAACTGGGAACATGGGTAACATCCATTTGCCATATATGATTAGGCATAAGACCAAAGCAAGGCTGGGATAAAAAGGGAACACAATTTTGGCATTGTCTAATAATACAAAAATATGGTCGGATTCAATTAATATGCCTCAATACCTGCTGAAAATCATTAAGGGTCTTTAAACCATCCATTCTGATTTTTTTTTTTTTTTTTTTTTTGCGTCTCCATAAGACTTTCTCACCTTCCTGTATAAGTCCTCTGAATTTATCAGTGCCATCTGTCAGGCAAGACTTAATCAACATTCAAACATCCAGAACCCAACCGTTCCTGGAGGGAGGGGCTCCTACTGTTCTGCCCTAGGTAACGCTTTGCCTAAGTGCTCCCATTGTGGCAGGATCAAAAGGCCCTCCTCCAGAAACCACGGGGCAATCCTCTGCACAGTTTGCAAAAACGACAATACTGTCAGCAGCTTCTACAGTAAAGGCTGCATGCACGCTGAAGAAGTTAAATTGCCCATATTTCTAACACCTCAGACAGTGGCTAACCTGCGAACTTGACCGATGGTTAAACCGCGAAATTGACCGATCCTTAAACCGCAAATCTGAACGGCCGCTAAACCCACAAACCTGAATGATCGCTAAACTCGCGAACTTGACGTGCACATCCCCGCGTAGTGCGGCTTCCTGAGCAAAAAGCTCAGTTGTAAACTAATTCCCACTATAAGCAGCTCTTTGAGCAATCTGCTTAACTTACCTTCCTGATGTTCACCAGCTGACGTGTGTCCGAGTCACAGCGCCAGTTATCGGGGTCTCCCGTCCCATGGAAGAAATCATCTGACACTGGAGAGAGTCTCAGAGACGCTTTTATTCAGATCTTCCGTTAAAAACTGTTATGTCCATTAATTCCGTTACGCAGAAGCCCCTCCCCCAGCAAAGACCCCCATCTTTATGCAGCTGGTCATCACACAAGTGAGGGTCCCACTTGTGGCCTGTGTGGGGTGTTCACAGACAGGTGACTCAGGGGAGCTGCTTCTCTGAGGACACAGCACTTGCATCCCCAGGAGGACTGGAGCTGGTGACCCGCACAGCCACTCACATCTAGTGTCAAGTGTCACCTGTGAACCGGGACCACAGTCAAGACCTTGCTCTGCACAGGCAGAGAGCTCACAGAACAGAGAGCTTCCAGGGCTTCCTAAGCTGCAGCAGCACTGGGGAGGGCAACTAGAAGGGAAAAGAGGAGACTCTGGGGCAACTTGGTGCTCTGACTCTGAGTCTGGACCAAACTTGAGACTCCTCTGGAGTAAATCCTGTTGTGGGTGAAGGGTGTCTTAGGATGGATTAATGGAACAAAACCTAATCTTCAGTTTTTGAACTTGAAGGGGAGTTGCCTCCATCACAGATCGCTCTTGGCCAGACTCTGGCTCCTTCTGGCTGAAGATGACACCTTTTGGCTTCAGAAGGATCCTGAACTGGATAAAGGAGGAGTACAACAACCCTCCAATTTATGTGACAGAGAATGGGGTGTCTCATCGGGGAGACTCATACCTCAACGACACCAGCAGGGTCTACTACCTGCGCAGTTACATCAACGAGGCTCTCAAAGGTAGGCCAGCCCAGCCCTTCCTCTACACTCACCTTTCCCTGTTGGAAACACACACCAGCATCTGCAGGAGGGGAGTGCTCATCCCCACCCACCGTATCACATGCCCAGTGTTTTCCTTCCCCTAAGCTCAGCATGCCAACCCATTACACAATACCAAGAAGGTGTTTCCTGCCGGCCTGAGACATCTGCTGTCGTAGCCACTCTGTGAGGTCTGGTGTTTCCAGTTATCAGTGCCTTTCAGAAGCCAGTCTGGGCAGAGGACAGGAAGAGTAGGCTGAGCAGTTTCCTACATGTAGGATATTCTATTCCCCAAATTAAATTTTAATATTCTTGACCCAGCCCTAACAATTTGGAATACGACTTTCAGTAAGAGTAGGGAAGAGTGTAATGCTGAGTGAACAGAAAAGGTAAACTATATACCAGATAAAGGAAATAGCTAGAAAATCCTGTCTAAGCTAACATATACTTCATCTAAATGTATTAAATTTGAGATTTATTTATTTTTATTGGAAAGGCATATTTGCAGAGAGAAGGAGAGACAGAAAGACAGATCTTCAATCTTCTGATTCTTTCCTCAGTGGCCCCTATGACTGGAAATGAGCTGCTCTGAAGCCAGGAACCATAGCTTCTTATGTGTCTCCTGTGTGGGTGGCAGGGTTCAAGATTTGGGCCATCTTTTGATGTTTTCCCAGGTCATAAACAGAAGCTGGATGGGGAGTGAAACAGTGAGGACACAAACCAGCACCCAAATAGGATGCCAGCACTTGCAGGCAGATTAGCCAATTGAAAAAAATCATACCAGTCCTGACTCTATTTTTTTTTTCTTTTTTAAGTTGTTTTATTTGAAAGGCAATTTTTAAAAAAGATGTATTTATTTTTATTGGATAGTCAGATATACAGTTGTGGCCACTTCCTCCCCAAGCAGCCACCATAGCTCCGATCTGAAGCCAGGAGCCAGGAGCCTCTTCTGGGTCTCCCACGTTGGTGCTGGGTCCAAGGCTTTGGGCCATGCACAACTACTTTCCCAGGCCACAAGCAGGGAGCTGGATGGGAAGTGGGGTGGCCGGGATCAGAACTGGCGACTATATGGGATCCTGGCATGTGCAAGGCGAGGAATTTAACCACTATGCTATCGCGCCAGACCCAAAAGGCAATTGTAAATCTCAGATTTACTCCTCCAATGGCTGCAGTGGCTGGTTCTGACCAGGCAAAACCAGGAGAGCAGAGCTCAATCTGAATCTCTGCCATGTGTTTTAGGGAGCTAAATGCTTCCAAAATTTCAGTTGCCTTCCCTGGATCATGAGCAGGAAGCTGGATCATAACAAGAGCACGATGGATTGGAAACAGAGCTCCAGTATAGAATGGAGGCATTTGCAGTTGAAAACATTATTCAGTGTGCTGCAATATCACCCCACGGGAACCTTCCTTTTCTATAGGAGAGATCACGAACATTCTAAGGAATTCACTAAGATTAATGTCTTGCAGTTTAGAGGGGAGGAGGAATACAGATCATTCAATGGGATTAGTTCACTGTGCCTGCGTGGTGACTCTCATGCAGGGTTGAGCCTTTATAGAAAGATACTGGATAGGCCCGGAATGGTAGTCTAGTGGCTAAAATCCTTGTCTTGCATGCACAGGGATTCCGTATGGGCACAAGTTCATATCCCAGCTGCTTCATTTCCCTTCCAACTCCCTGCTTGTGACCTGAGAAAGCAGTGGAGGACAGCCCAAAGCCTTGGGACTCTGTACCGGCATGGGAGAACAGGAAGAAGCTCCTGGAACCTATATTCAGATTGGCTCAGCTCTAGCTATTGCAACCACTGAGAAGCTCATTAGCAGACAGAAGATCTTTCTCTGTCTCTGTTTCTCTCTGTAAATCTGCATTTCTAACAAAAATGAATAAATCTTTTAAAAACAGATACTAGTTACAGTAAAGTGCACACAGGTGTCACCAAGAGCCAAGCCCAAAGTTCCCCTCCACCCTCAGAGGGGACAACTGTGCACTGAACTGACAGCAGGAGCCTTAAAGGGGAGACTGCAGAGACAAGGAGAGCTCACACCTGGCCTCTGTTTGCACAGCTGTGCGGGACGGGGTGGATCTTCGAGGATATACAGTCTGGACTCTGATGGACAACTTCGAGTGGTACACAGGCTACTCTGATAAGTTTGGTCTGCATTTTGTGAACTACACCGATCCTTCTCTGCCAAGGATCCCCAGAGAGTCGTCCAAGTTATATGCCTCTATAGTCCGGTGCAACGGCTTCCCTGACCCTGCACAAGGGCCCCATCCTTGTCTCCTCCAGCCAGAAGGTGAGAAGGGGCTGTGGGAGGGACAAAAGGCCAAGGCTGAGGGGCCTGGCCGAGGGCTTCTTTCAGCCTCTCTTCTCCAACTGATGACCTTCCTCTCCACCGCCTTCAGTCCCTCAGCCAATGTTGAGACACTGCTGGGATGCAACAGTGGACACTTGGTCTCATGTTATGCCCCAAACCTGGAGCCTTGGAGTGGGGACAAGCAGGTCTAGATCCTTGTTCCAGGCACCCCCTCTCCACTGACTTGCTGTGTGACTTTAAGGAAAAAGCTAGGCAGATGCCTCTGGAAGTGGGAAGGGGCAAACACAAGCACTGGGAAAGTGCACTGAGGGCCTGGAGAGAGAGGGGCCCAACATGGGCTGAGGCGGGAAAGTGTAAATGACTATTCAGATATTCTATTATATTCCAACTGTTTCATGGGCCATTAGAATTGAAAATTCACTCAGAGGCTCTTGGCACATGCCAACAGGGGACAGGCATCGTCACCTCAGCAAGGCCTCACCCCATCTGTGTGGATCTGACCCTCAGAACCCCAAGTGCTCGAGGGGACTTGAGAGGGGTCCCTGCCTCAGCACTAGAGCACTAACTGCTCTCTGTTGTCCTGTCCTAGACTCCAGCCCCACCGAGAGCCCCAGCAGAGAGGATGCGGTCCAGTTCCTGGGGCTGTCGCTCATCTCCACGGAAGCAGAGACGGCTTTGTACGTCCTCTTTGCTCTCGTGCTGCTTGGAGTCTGTGGCCTGGCATGTCTGTCATACATGTACTGCAGGAGGTCCAAGAGCAAGAAAGCACAACAGAACCAACAGGAAATGAGCCCTGTTGCTGCATTCTGAAGTCACGCAGGCCTGCTTCCTGTCTCACCACTGTGCCAGCCGTAGCTGTGTTCTCCATCCTTGTGTTCTCTTGTTAGAGATGACTTGGATCTCAAGGGTTTTGAGTTCTGGTGGAAATGGGGATGTCTGCACATTGCCCCAGTACTGGGAGCTCTCTAAGGCCTCTGAGGGACCTGCTGGAGGCCCTTCTGGACATGTGCAGCTACTTGGACATGTGTAAACAATGGGATGGTGGACTCTCTGACATTGTACCAGCAATGTTGTGGCACACTTAAATAACAGTCTTATGGAAGGGCAAAAATCAGTCTGGAGGGGTTGAGGGGAAATCCCAGACTCTCTGGAATTGTAATGTAAAATTCAAAAATCAAAGTAAAGATTCAAAAAATATATAGCATCCAAAAAAAAAAGAAGGAAATGTGCAGGTACCGATCTGGTCCAATGGGCTCTGAACCACCTAATTGAATTAAGCAGGCTGGTGTAAGTTTTGGAATTTCAAAAGGTGAAATCCTAAGTAAAAACGACAGAAATCCTCTCCTAAGAAGAAAAAATCAAGTGTACTGGGAAAATGGGCTATATCTTCATCTCCTGCTCTCTTCAAGCTCTCCTCTAGCCTCATTCTTGGTGTTTACCAGGAAGTGAAAGCACTCTGTCCAGTCTCCTACTATTGTGATAAGTTGTGATACATCTCCTAATATTGACAAGTCTGTGATAAGTTGGGCACACCAGAGCTAAACAGCCACACAGGTCATTTGGGTCTTTTACCAAACTTGTCATTGGAAAATTACTTTCTGCATACTTTATACTCATTGGGTAGACACCATTAACATGAAGAGATATCATTTGTTCCATACTCAGTTCCACACATTTAAATATCCCCCTTTGCCACCTACTGTGTTATCCCTGGATCTTCTATCACATGACTTTGTCTTATTTGAAACAGTAATGGTCAGTGAGAAATCTTTCATCCACTGGTTAACTCACTAAATTTCTGAAACAGTTTGGGTTGAACCATCTCGAAGCCAGAGGCCCAGAACTTAATTCAGGCCTCCCACTTTGGTGGCAGGGATCCAACTGCTTGTGCCATCACCCACTGCCTACCAGAGTGTACATATGCAGGAAGCTGGAGTAGAATGCAAAACTGGGATACTAATGCAGGTACTCTGATCCATCATTGGCAAGCATATTTTGGAGACAGCAATGTAAAGCATGTCTTCTGCACATGTATATAAATTCAAAAAACATAACCAGAGCATTCATAGTAACAGAGAAGGGTGTAATGTCCTCAGTCCACTTGTCATCGTTAAGATACTCATGGTTTGAAAACATTATAGAAATCCTGAATTAGAAATAAATATCATGAAACCACATGATGCGTCAAAATTGTCCAATGGCAGATAGATTCAATATCCTATTAACAAAATATTTTTAAAAGATTTATTTATTTTTATTGGAAAGGCAGATTTTACAGAGATGAAGGGAGATAGAGAGAAAGATCTTCCATCCACTGACTCACTTCCCTGATGGCTGCAATAGCTGCAACTGAGCCAATCAGGAGTCAGGAGTTTCTTCTGGGTCTCCCACACAGTTGCAGGGTTCCAAAGCATTGGACCATCCTCCACTGCTTTCCCAGACAACAATAAGGGAGCTGGATTGGAAGTGAGGCAGCTGGAACATGAATTGCTGCCTGTATGGGATGCCAGGGCTTGCAGGTGGAGGACTAGCTAGTTGAGCCAATGCACTGGCCCTCTGTCTTAATTCCTTTCTATGAATACTATCTTAAATGTAAGTGAATTAAATTCTTCAGCTACAAGATATAGGTTGGCTGAATGGATCAAAAAAACAATAAACAAGACTCTGCTGTATCCTATCTATCAAAAACTCATTTCACAAAGATACACACAAATTGAAAATGAACAGATGGAAAAAGACATAACTTGAAAATGGAAACCAAAAATGAGCAAGAATATTTACCCTAATATTAGATAAATTTTAAATCCAATACCCCCCCAAAAAAAGATAAAGGAAATGTATTTTGATAAAAAGTTTGGATCAGCAAAAAAAAAAAATTATAAATGCATATGCTCCCAACAAAAGACCACCCAGATGTATATGTATATGTATATATATATATATATATATAGCAAATGCTGTAAGGCCTAAAGGGAAAAACAGACTGCAAAACAATGGTACTATGTGACTGCAGTGCTTGACTATCATCAGTGGACAGTTCATCCATACAGAAAATCAACAAAAAAATATTGAAATTGAAGTATCTATCAAGCAAATGCCCCTAACAGCTTTTGCTGGGCATTTCACCCAACAGCTGCACACTAAGCCTTCTTTTCATTAGTATATGGAGTATGTTCAATGATAGATCACATATTAGCCCACAAATCAAGTCTCAGCAATTTTAAAGACTGAAATCATACCATGTATCTTCTCAGACCAGAAAGGGATGACACTAAAGATCAACAAGAACAATACAACATTCATAAATATTTATAAATTAAACAACATGCTACTGAGTATCAATATATCATCAAAGAAATTAAAAAGAAAATAAGGGCCCGGCACAGTGGCCTAACTGCTAAAGTCCTCACCTTGAATGTACTACAACCCAATATGGGAGCCAAATCTAATCCCAGCAGCCCCACTTCCCATCCAGCTCTCCCTGGTTGTGACCTGGGAAAGCACTCCAGGACTGCCCAAAGCCTTGGGACTCTGCACCTGCTTGGGAGGCCTGGAAGGGGTACCTGGCTCCTGGCTTCAGATCGCTGCAGCTCCAACCATTGCAGTCACTTGGGGAGTGAATCATCAGATGGAAAATCTTCCTCTCTGTCTCTTCTCCTTTTTATTAGGAAGTCTCTTGTGACTTCCTAATAAAAATAAATAAATTTAAAAATAAGAAGAAAATGAAAGTTTCTTGAATAAATGAAAAATTAAAATACAACGTATCAAAACTTCTAGGATGGGCCCAGCACAATGGCTGAATTGGCGAATCCTTCCCCTTTAGGCACTGGGACCCCATACGGGCACCAGTTTGAGTCCTGGCTGCTCTGGTTCCCATCCAGCTCCCTGCCTATGATCTGGGAAAGCGGTCGAGAATGGCCCAAAGCTTTGGGACTTTGCACCCACATGGGAGACCTGGAAGAGGTTCCATATTCCAGGCTTCAGATTGGCGCAGCACCGACCATTGCGCTCACTTGGGGAGTGAATCATCGGATGGAAGATCTTCTCTGTCTCTCCTCTCTGTATATCTGACTTTGTAATAAAAATAAATAAACCTTAAAAAAAAAGGAAAGAAAATTATTCAGGAGGCAAGAAGTAATAAGGATCAGAACAGAAATAAATGAAGTTGAAAAGAAAAAAATTACCAAAGATCAACGAAATGAAAACTAAATTTTTTAAGATGAACAAAATAGATAAGCCTCTAGCCACACTTAAACAAAAAGAAACTCAAATAAATGAACAGAATTAGACTTAAAGAGACATAAGTGATAACAATGAAATATTAAAGATTTTAAGAAACTGCTATGGAGAACTATATGCCAATAAACTGGTGGAAAACCTTTCAGAAATTGATAAATAAAGTATGTTATTAATATCTATGATCTACCAATAATAGATCAATAAGATGCAGGCAATCTAATCAGACCTGTAACAAGCATCGAGATTGAAATTGTAATCAAAAGTAAAAGTCCAGGACCCAATGGCTTCACTACTGAATTTTACAAAATATTCAAAAAGAAAGTAACTCCAACATGTTCAAAACTATTGCAAAATTTTCAACAGGATGGAACTCTGCCAAACTCCTTCTATAAGGTGAGCATTACTTTGTTACTAAAACCAAAGACATTACGCAAAGAGAAAACTACAGACCTGTATACTTAATGAGGATAGATGCAGATCCTTAAAAAATGTTCGTCATTTGAATCTAAGACCACATCAAAAAGATCATTCATCATGATCAAGTAGGATTTATCCTAAAAGTGTAAGGGAAGTCAACATTTGTGAATCAATAAATATAAATCATATCAGTAAAATAAAAACCATATGTTCATCTCAATAGATGCTGAGAATACATTTGATAAGATTCAACACCCATTCACGATAAAATTCTCTATAAATTAAGTATAGAAGGAACCTACCACAAAATTATAAGGACCATATATGATAAATGAACAGCCAACATCATCCTGAATGGAGAAAAACTGAAAGCATTTCTGCTCTGGAACAAGAAAAGTACATCTACTCTCGCTACTCTTAGTAGTACTGGCACCCTAGGTGAGGTTTTTTGGGGGAATCCCCAACTGGACCACTGGACTCAAAATTGGCCATAGGGAGACTCATAGGATTTGTGATCCAGCCTTGCAATGAATGTTTCGGGACTGGGTTTCCTTAATTGTTGATGCCTGTCAGTGGACAACATACCCAGATGCATTTAGGGAATATGATGGCCAATTCATTTGGGCCTGCAGAGGATGTCAAGTGCCTTGTAAGAAGATGGAGAACAGAACAGGTTGGATAACTCCTGGCTAAGGTGGACTCTGTCAGCCAATGGACCTCAGAAGGATTTTCTCAGACTTACAGCAGCGAAACCAACAATGTCTCAGAACTCTCAAAACTATTCAGACAATAACCTCAGAACACTCTTCTCCGTATTGGGGAAACTAATGATAACATCAAGTGGACATCCTCATCCCCAGGTACTGTTGTAGTTTGGCAGCTGGAGATACCACAATACCTGACTTCAAAGCATACTACAAAGGTATAGAAATTAAAATAGCATGGTACAGGTTCCTTCCTTCCACTGGAGTCCTGCAGGCTGAAAGCAGCCTCCAGGGGCCTTGGGACTCATGCTTGGAGCCAGTGGAATGGAGCAGACATGGAAACTTCTGCATATGTTTGAGTCCCAGGCAAGTGGGAGGGAGGAAAGGGGTGGGTGTTAGAGTCCCAGGCTGACATGCTAGCATGGTGTGCTGGTAGACTGAGTTTGGGGACTCATTATTAACATGCTTGGATCCCAGGTGGCAGAGGGGTAGGATCTCAGGCCGGCACATGTGCTGGAAGATTGGATCTGGGGTCCCAGGTAGGTAGGCAGGGCTGCAAGTCACCCCTACAGAGGCTGAGCTGGGAAACACTGTGTTTGCAGCTCTGGAGACTGGATTGATCAGTAGGCCAGTGAGATCTGGGTCTAGGAATGGGCCTGGTGGGGAAACTTGGTGAACTCCCCTGGTGAGCTGCAGCTCCTGCTGGTGAGCACATGGGTCAGGGCTGGGTGTTGGTCAGGCCAGGTAAAAATGCTCCACTTACCGGCAAGTGTGTGGGATGGTTTTGAAGGGGGCGGGGAGATGAGCTAGGTCAAACATTGGCACCGTGGCATGCATGGGAGCCAGGATGG